CAAATTACTCACAATTAGAATGTACAATATAAAAATGCGATTTCTTTATTACATCCATAATAATTGGCCTTCTTCCAGAATCCCTATTTACACATTAACAAAAAACATTTCATATATGATTTAAAGCTTAATCAAATCTAATGACTTTTTAATATTGTATTTAGAAGATAATCTGCCCAGTCATTCAAGAGCTTCCTTCTCTATCTGCTTTTCTTCCTAATGTGTATGGAGAAGGCATATGACTGGATTTTACTTTATGAAAAAGGAATGTGGACACCATATGTTTTAGTCAGCTTTTTTTTTTTTTTTTTTTTTTTTTTGCTGCTGTGACTAAAGGATCCGACCAGAACAACTATAGAGGAGGAAAAGTTGGAGGGCTCACGGTTTCATAGGTCTTAGTTCATAGAAGGCTGGCTCCATTTCTCAGGGCTTGACATGAGGCTGAACATCATGGTGGAATGTGTGGCAGATGGAAGCAGCTCACATCATGGCGATCAAGAAGCAGAGAGAGAAACTCTACTCTCCAGATACAAAATATATACCCCATAGCCAAGCCCCATTTCCCACCTCCTCCAACCACATCCTACCACTTCAATTCACCCCAATCAGGGATCCCTGATGAGATTAATTCACTGATTAGGCTAAGACTCTTACAACCCAATCATTTATCTTCTGAACCTTCCTGCATTGTCTCACATGTGAGCTTTTGGGGGACACCTCATATCCGAATCATAACACTATATCAATTTCATGATGTCAAAAATGTAACATAGTATCACTTCAACATTATAAATTGCTTTTGCTTTCCTGTAATATTAATTAAACTATCTTTGTACTTGTATTTTATAAACCTAATGCTTGCTTATCATTTAATTCTAAGGAAACATTCAGAGAATTACAGATCATTGAATAATATGGGGATCAATGATTTTTTTTGAGTGAAAACACTTTGAATTTCTTTACTCTTAAGCAAATGTTTTGAAAAATTAAATACATGGTATACTTTAAAGCAATCTGTCATTTCAGATACTTGAGAAACAAAAATGTCTATTGTTAAAATAGTGAAGGTTATTCTCCTTAACATTGGCCTGTGGAATTTAAGGTTTTCATTTCCAGTTGTAGGTAGCAATGTAATTTTTGCATACTTATGTTTTATTATGGGTACATATATCCATATTACGTATATCCATATTACAGGATATATGTACCCATAATAATAAATATACTAATATAATGTTTTCAAGTCTTTTGATATCAGGTATACTGTTCTGTAAAATGTTGCCTCTTAGCTATTAAACTCCCAAGAAGTTTTTTGTATTTGAAATCATATATCTGGTGATATTTACCCAAATTCAAGCAATCTGCTGAAGAGCGAAACGTCCGTGGAATCCCTTCTGTTCGAGTTGGAAGGAACTTGTGTGACTGTCTATGCTTTCTAGTCTTAAGACCATTCTTCTCCAGGGGAAAAATGAACACAAAGGAAAGGCTT